TTAACGAATTGCCTACGACTTTTCCATAATGTTTCAGTCATTTCGGAAGCACATTTCAATATCGGCTCTGATCACCGTATGGTTCGAGCAACGATTGTAGTGAAACTGAAGGAAGAACGGAAAAGATTAGCAGCATATCACTCGAGAAGAACTAGATATGAACTATCCGATGAAATGCTTGAAGCGCTTGCTGCCACCACAGATTTTTCCACGGGACATGGTAACGTACACATCAAATACGAAAAGCTGACTTCCACTATCCGAACCCTTATAAGAAACGCCTCAGAACGTGTCCGGAGCAAAGCCACGAGAGCGACTAAGTGCCATTACCCTACAGATGTTGGCCACTCGGAAGGAATGGGAAGAACCATGACCCCTGTGGCTCGAACCGTGTTAAACAAGGCCATACGCTACAGAGTCAAAAATGATTATCGAGAATATGCGGCACGAAAAATACGAGAAGCAGCTGAAAAGTCGAATAAGTCTCAAAAGAACATATATCAACACTCGCCTCAAGACCATAATCCCTGACTTCCTGACAAAAGCTGACGGCTCTGTTGTCCGAGATCGTAAGGATATGAAAGAAGAAATTCGAAAGTTTTTCCAAGACTTGTTCTCTTCCAAAGTGCAAGTGAAACCGACATTGATGCCATTACAAGATCCTGATGAAATATCTGGGAGAGAGGAATGGAGGGTCCTCGAATCTGAAGTAGCACAGGCAATTCGTCAGATGAAAAATGGAAAATCACCTGGACCCGACCAAATTCGAATAGAGCCCTTAAAAAGCCTGCAGAAATTCCTCACGCGTCCATTAGCAGATATATTTACGGAAATACTTGCGTCAGGAACTGTTCCGAAAGATTGGTTGGGATCTAGCACTGTTTTGATACACAAGAAAGGACCGCGTGACGTCTTGGCTAATTACCGCCCAATAGCACTGCTATCAGTGGTACTCAAGATCTTCTCGCGTGTCATTCTAAACCGTATTAGTCAAAAACTCAATACGAATACACGAAGAGAGCAAGCCGGATTCCGCGAAGGTTTCTCTACCATCGATCAAATCCACGTGATCTCTCAACTTACAGAAAGATGCCGAGAATACCGAATCCCCCTATGCTATCTCTTCATTGATTTCAAGAAAGCTTTTGATACGGTTGAACATCAAGCAGTGTTGAATGCCCTCGTGAGCTTCGGAATTCCTCGCAGATACGTTGAAATAATACGACAATGTAATACAAACTGCTACACTGATATCAATCTACTCAACGACCCGATCCGCGTGAAGATTCAGCGAGGTGTACGACAAGGCGAAGTGATTTCTCCAAAGCTGTTCTCTGCTGCTCTAGAACTCGTAATGCAAAACGTCCAGCTGCCTTGCGGCATCGACATAGATGGTGAAAAACTCCAATACCTGATGTTTGCAGACGACATGGTACTCATCGGTAGTGACCCAAGTACACTGGAAAACTCACTGAAGATCCTGAGCGACGCCTCACGATTAATTGGACTTGAAATTCACCCCGGCAAAACCAAATGGATGAAGAACAGTTTCACGAGAAATTACGAAGTGCGCATGGGAAATTCAGTCATTGAGGAAGTCTCTTCATACGTTTACCTAGGTCAGGCAATCACAATGGATAATGATCTCACAACTGAAATAGGCCGTCGCCGAAAAGCAGGCTGGGCAGCATTCAATAAGTATCGTAGAGTTCTAACTGATAAGAGGTTAGATGCTCAGATCAAAGCCCAAGTGTTCAACACCCATGTCTTACCAGCTTTGGTATACGGAAGCGAAACATGGAGCACGATAAAAGAGGAAGAAAGAAAACTGGCATCAACCCAGAGAGCAATGGAACGAGCGATGTGCGCCGTGACGTTAATGCACAAAATTCCAGCACGTGAAATCCGAAGGCGGACTGGTGTAAAAGATGTCATTGAGACCATATACGATCGAAAAAGCGATGGGCAGGACATGTTGCCCGTCTTCATGACAACCGTTGGACGTCACGAGTGACCGATTGGTATCCCCGCGGAGTTAAAAGACCGCAAGGGAGACCCCCAGCCAGGTGGAGTGATCCATTTAGGAAATTATTTGGACAGAGATGGCAACAAATGGCAAGAAACCGAAACGAATGGCATAGATGCGTCCTGCAAGGATGGCGTGAACACCCTTGAAGAGCGGACATCAAGGTATTCAAGGTATGTATGCTTTGAGACGCGAGGTCAAAAAACCGGCTTCATCATTCGGACAACCTAATATTTACCTCCGCTCGCTTCTGGCGAGAGGTCAAGTGAAGGTCGGATGCATGGCCTACACCCAGACAAAATCGGATGATGGCGATTGCCCCTTTTCTTATTGCTTATGTTGGAAAAATGTATTCTAGACACATTTCGAGCGTTGCCAACGAATTACACTTGCAATGGTGAAGAAGGGAGCGGCTTTTTGAGCGGCCGAGAATCATCCTTCAATAGATCCTCGACGTATCTCCTCGACTAGAGATCGTAGAAGGGAAGCTAAACACCTAAAAATCATTGGAAGGCGCATATCTTCGCGCTTTCCTAAAATGTCTTTCACTGTTCAGGACCTTAAAATTAGAGATTATTGGCTTTTTAAGTGCGAAAACTTCGCAATCAAAAATTCGGCAGCCTCCTCGACGCTGCCTCGACGGATTTTGAGAGACCATATGTCTTCAAACGGAAGGCTTTTATAGCATATCCAATACAGCCTGATAGTAGCAAATCTATCTTTATCTAATCCTACCGCGATGATTTGCATATTGTATTTTTCAAGGCAAATCGAGCCCACGGACAAGATCATGCCACAGCTGTCGCTGAATCGGTCGTTGATCGATGCACTCGGCTGTTGCTATTCTGCGTTGCTCTGTATTAGGGGTGGAGTCGCGCCAAGAACTTGATTTCAGGAGGGTCGTACTTCTGCGACCACGTCCCGACACGATTTCACCCTGGTAGGAACATTGTAGTGAAAAAGAAGAAAAACATTTGGCTCGCTGTCGATGCAGGGAGGACGATGCTTCGAGTTACCCTGTGCACAATGCAAATGAAGAAAGGTGAAATCTTGGGAGGGCTCCGTGATGCTGTCTATGACCGAAATCGGGGATCATCCGCCATCGCTAATGCGAAATGAAATTTGGGAGGCCGTATATTATCAATTCCTGCGATGATCATGGTAGCATTCACCTCCTTTGGAACGATTAAGAACCCACCTGGAGACACTCAACAACCCCCAGGACTATCATCTAGTTTCTAGCGGTCAGGTGCCTACCGACCTAGTCTGCAACGAAAGGAAAGGAAGCGTTAGGTGACTTCGGACAAGGAGGATGCATTGAAGTGCTCAGCGGTGAACCACATACTCCTTCTCCTGTTCCAAGGTGATCGAAACACTTGAATAAAGGAAAAGAGATATTTCATGTATTACTTACGGTGAAGCGTGTGGATACAGTCGTAGCGCTTCAAAGATACAGCAGTGAAGATACTTCATGGATAGGATGCTGTCATAGGTGAACGGACTTGCGGCGTCAATCTCTTCCAGAAGCATTTCCTAGAGTCACGTTCACGTTGCTGAGGTGATTCTTCCGATCAACACAAAACAGCAGGAATTCTCCCAAATCACACCTGCTTGTCCTCGTTTCTCGCGAGAAGCTCACAAACCAGCGTCAAAGTGTTTGCTGTAGTGTCAAATCCGGCTACTGCAATGAATCGGCATTGGGCAACAGTTTCCCTGAGTAAAAGCAGTGTTCAACATCAACATTTGCGAACATCTGACACTAAAAAAGCTTATAAAGAAGAACGCGGGAAAACTTACACCTGGTGCCATTATTTTCTTCACTCGCACAGAAGCCAAGTCTATTTTACCGCTACAATTCTCTGTACGGAAACCATCGAATGAGTTATCTTCCGCATCTTTGAAGAATTGCAAGAAATCAGACTTTCCAGCATTTGGAGCTCGATCACTCCGCAACATGGCAAGATGATTTACGAACATCGCCATAGGCGCGTGGAACCCCAGTGCAGCTTTCGATATCATCTCAGAACACTTTTTCAGTTCTCGAAGGAGCCTGGACAGCGGTGGAAAGCATACTGAAAAGGAACTGCTCGGTTGAACATACACCTCATGAGCGGACGTCATTTCACTAACATAGAGTATTTAATGTTTTAAGTTGGGAAGGCTCTTTCGACGAGTGGACGAACAATATCCCACCTGCAATAGTTTACATGGTGGCCGGACCGCCTTATATAAGAGCACAGGTATACTGTAGTCATGGCTGCACTGCAACGGTGTGGTTTTTCAAGGGCTCTCACAATCTCCTCGGGGAAGGGCGTGAGGCAAGGCGACACCATCTCAATGCGGGTAATGAATTCGCTCGATTGGGATGAGGACGGCATTCGTGTGGACGGACGGTATCTTTTGAATCTATTGGGTAGTGATTTCGTTTTTTTTGAATAGAAGCTTCTCCATTAAAATCCCATTTTGTGTCAGCTCATGCGCTGTTCGAAAGAGATTCATCCATCTTACGAAACAGTTGTTTCACTTCCACATTCTTTGCAGGATCTTGAATTTCAGGCTTGTGAAATGAGAGGTCCAGTCGCTGAAAGTTAACAAATCTGACAACTACTTCTATTTTCCCTTAGAAAAAATTGATCGATGATGCGCCCTTCACTTATTCACCACTTCTTGTGAACACTCCGCCATTGGACTTTCTGAAATGTGATTTTTTTACTGTGACTCCGCACTCCTTTTTCAAATGTGGTTTTCATGGGACCTGGTGGTTAATACCTATCTCGATAATATCTCGGTTATATCTCGTCAACTCTAAAAAATTTGACAACCCCGGGCTGGAAAACTATGGAATGCTGACTACTAGTAGTGAGAAAAATTGGGATGTAGGCCTGATTGACGTTGTCGTCCTCAGGAGAAATTCTCTCGAAATAATGTGGTCACCCTCGTACACTGAATACCCTATCACGTAGATTTGAAGGGCTTCGTCTAAGAGGTTATAGGTCAGTAAAATTGGGCGACGAAGTGTGCTCCGAAAGACCATCAAATGGGCAGACAAAACAGCAGCTACAACTACCTAACCCATTGTTCTTTGTTGATGGTAATCGACTCAGGTTACTTGGAAACTTCGAGCCGTCATGCAACAATTAAATCCTTTAACGGAAAAAGCTAGTGATTATTCCATGGGGAGACAAAAGCATTGGTGCTTCCAAACTGATACATTTCAATACAGAACTGAGGAATGACCCTTACGTTACCAACATGAAAAAGAAAAATAAACATTGAGTACCGTTGACGTTTAAAATTCGAGATTGCTAGCAGCGCGCTCTTGTAACCGTAGCTTTCGAACACAACCCTGCGCACGCATTTCCAGGTGGCACGCTTACCACGCGCGCGGTCCGGGGATCAAATCCTGGGTCGTGAGTCGCCCGGCCAACCAAGCCTTCCGGGTCGGTTAATTGGTACCAGACTTGTCTGGGAGGATAAAAACACTGACTTGTACATCGGCTGGCCCCCGCAAGTCATTGTATAGGCCACATCGCATTCAAATGCCACGGCAAATGCTTTAATCTCTTTAGATTCCAAGCAAAACGAAGTTTCTCAATGTATACAGAGTGTAGTGAGAGGGAGGGTAATAATCACGCCACTACACCCCGACCGATGAGTAACCCCTCGCCGTCTGATACTGGCCGTTTAGCAGAGAGAATGTTAGCGTAATGAGGGCAGAACCGATGAGACTGGTCGCATCAATGCT